GAATCATTTTGTACTGTGAATAATAATAATAGGAATATATTTGTACATGTGAGTGGCCCGTGTAACAGTAGATAACCAGTGTTGGGGGTAATGCATTACAAGTAATGCAAGTTACGTAATCAGATTACATTTTTCAAGTAACTAGTAAAGTAACGCATTACTTTTTAATTTACAAGAGAATATCTTAGTTACTTTTTCAAATAAGTAACGCAACTTTTTTTCCCAATTTATTAACTGACAGCTCTCCTGTCCCCATGTTGAGAGAAATCAGATGTAACTGTAGTTCTAAAATAAATATGAATATGCATTAATTCATCTCACTCACAAAAGCAAAAAAAAGCCACAGATTCAGTATTCCTCAAAATGAATCAAAATAATGCAACTCAGAATATGACGCAAACCTGCAATAATTAAATGTTAAACAACACAAATATCCTTTATGTATTTAATCCTGTTCTATTTGCTTCTGTCCTTCGATGATCCAGTTCAAGCGTACTAATAAGCAAAAATTACTCTAGACAAACACTTGTGTGTCTTTGTTTATTGCTGAAGTGTGTTGAAATGTCGTCTTCTGCATTCTACTGTACGGACGTTTACTTTCCCTTCAGCCTGAGGCTTATTCATTTCACTTTTGGTGTGAAAGGCTTTTATATTTACCAAAAATGTCTTTTTTTTTTATTTAAACAAACAAGCAAGCCCTGTCCAGATTTAAAAAGTAACGCAAAAGTAACGTAACGCATTACTTTCCATAAAAAGTAACTAAGTACCGTAATTAGTTCTTTTTTTAGGGAGTAACGCAATATTGTAATGCATTACTTTTAAAAGTAACTTTCCCCAACACTGTAGATAACAGTAGAAAGTTGTTGTTTTGCAAAGAAAAGAAAACATGGTGTAATGTTTTTAGGTCATTTTTTATGAGTAACAAAGTGTGTTTGTTATTAGTGTTGTGAAATAATAAGTTGATTGTATATAAAGTGAAGTAGTTTTAATGCATTTTTGGATGCGAAATTTACTGTTGTGCCAAGCTTACAGTTGGGAAGAAGATCTGTGAGAACTGTGAAGGGTTTCGAAAGAGTGGGCCAATTATTGAAAAATTAAAAAAAAAAATAATAATAATAATAAAACTGCTGTTCACAAAGCGTCACAAATTGCAAGACGGAAAGGGTTATTTATGTATTTATTTAATACATCGGTGGGGTAGAAATAGTTAACAATACTTTAGCATACAAATGAAACTAAAATGTCTTAAAAGTCATAGACATACGCTGCGTCCGAAATCGCATACTTCCATACTGTATAGTAGGCGAAAAACAGTATGCGAGGCGAGTAGTATAAAACAGTAGGCGAGAAGTACCCGGATGACCTATTACTTCCGCCCGAATTCCGTAGCATGCATACGATGGACACTTTACTATCCCATGAGGCCACGCGAGAGGAGGCGCCATATTCGAAAATGGCGGCGACGCGGCTCTCTTCAAGCGTAAGTACCTCAGGGAAAAACCTTGTTATGAAATAATAAGTTGATTGTATATAAAGTGAAGTAGTTTTAATGCATTTTTGGATGCGAAATTTACTGTTGTGCCAAGCTTACAGTTGGGAAGAAGATCTGTGAGAACTGTGAAGGGTCTCGAAAGAGTGGGCCAATTATTGAAAAATTAAAAAAAAAAAAAATAATAATAATAAAACTGCTGTTCACAAAGCGTCACAAATTGCAAGACGGAAAGGGTTATTTATGTATTTATTTAATACATCGGTGGGGTAGAAATAGTTAACAATACTTTAGCATACAAATGAAACTAAAATGTCTTAAAAGTCATAGACATACGCTGCGTCCGAAATCGCATACTTCCATACTGTATAGTAGGCGAAAAACAGTATGCGAGGCGAGTAGTATAAAACAGTAGGCGAGAAGTACCCGGATGACCTATTACTTCCGCCCGAATTCCGTAGCATGCATACGATGGACACTTTACTATCCCATGAGGCCACGCGAGAGGAGGCGCCATATTCGAAAATGGCGGCGACGCGGCTCTCTTCAAGCGTAAGTACCTCAGGGAAAAACCTTGTTCATTGTGGTTAAATTGCACATGTTTAACACGATCTAAGTGAACGGCTGACTTATTGAGAGTTTAAACATTGTAAATCGATGAGATGATTTTGTGAATCGGCTGTAAAAAGATGTTTAATCGTTGTTATTACTGAGCACATCAAGTTACCGAACAGCTCGGGCTGGTGTCAGTGCTGTTGCACATCAGCTTGTTAACTGCTTCTTTAACGGAGACCTTCGTTCTTAAGCAGTTTAATGAGATTAGACAATTCCACGGACTTTAAAACATTTTTTCCCCTCTTTTACTAATATTTAGTTGATATTTTGTTAGCTACATACTAAGCTACTGTTAATAAATATGCCACAGCTTGTCAATGTAGCATTAATGGCTTGATAATGACTAATGGTTACTGCTTCGACATTACAGGCACTGATGAACACACTCAGCTCCTTATCCAGTGGAGAGGGGCTGATGAAGCCTTCACTGGAAAGCCTAATGCTTTCATTTTGCAAGTTATGTAAAATGTGCTTTTATTCAGGTGCTGTTGACACTGAACGTAGTAAATACTAACACTTCAAGCAAAGGTCTTACTGCCTTCTTTTTAGGCTTGATTTCTGTGCATTTATTGTGACAGAGCAGGGACTTGAGGGCAACATTTCTGCCGCTCAAGTCAAAAGAAAGCTGGAGAACCTAAAACATAAATATACAGTAAGATTTTTTTTTTTATTAGTTCACCCCAGCATTCATGATTTGATCATGCTAATGTTTTTCCGTGTCATAGTAATGCAGTAATCTAGTGAATGTAATTGACTGTCTTGATATTGTGCTTTTCAGACCCGGGATATCCAACAAAGATATGGAGGAACTTCCCCTTGTGGTCGGTGATGGCCTGCAGCTGAACCGAGTGGAGCAGCTTCCTGTTACAATAGCTTGGGGCATCACTTGCTGGTGGCTTGATCCGGATGTGGCATCCGTCTATTGCACCAGCTACCATGTGGAAAACTGGAGACCCAGCCAGCTGGGCAAAACCTGCCTCCATTGCGAAGATTGTGCTTTTTCCTGTTCAAGCCAGCCGTGTGAGGACAGGTTTTACCAGTCAGATAGCCTATTCTCTGCAGGATAAATGCACCTATTATTTACAGGAAATAAGCTTTTATGACAATGTTAAGCACGCATGCTGATGCAACTAATTCACTCAAGCTAACCTTGGCAGCTGTTACTTTTTTAAGGAGGAGGAAGCTTAAATGTAACTTGTTGGGTGTAACGCGGTACTAAGTAACGCGTTACTGTAATTAAATTACTTATCCACTGAAAAAGTCAAGTAAGGGATCACTGTTCATTTTTAGGTCATTTAATTACAGTTACTTATAAAGTAACATAAGTAACGTGTTACATACTCTAAATGATTTCAACAGTTTTAAAATCAATATTGAATTTGAAATCTAAATGTACAGTCTAAAGATAAAATTGAATCAGCGTCTTTAACCCTCTGCGCGCCGGCTCTTTCACTTTCAGTTTTTCCTGATTCACAGAGAAACCTTAAATACTCCGATAAGACTAAAATCAATCGAATCAAAAAAAAAGGGCCTGCTTTTATTTGTGTACACTGAAAATAACAATAAAACCTTGTGCTTTTGTAAAATAAACAAAGCAAACAGGGTGCGCTTTCTGCCGTCTCGGTCTCCGTGAGCAACTTTCTGAGCATCACAAACTCCGCGAATACTTGACACAGAGACATGAGAAATATGTCTATAGAAAGCTTGAAGTGTCTACTTTTAAATGAACGAATTCAAATCGAAAACGAATATGATCTGATTATGAAACTAAAGCGAGGTACTGTACGGTCTTTCCCGTATCTGAAAGGTCGAAGTGTCTACTTTTAAAAATGAATATTATCTGATTATCGGAGTATTTCTATTTGTTAACCAAAGAAGGTAAAACATTTTTTATGAAGTATTATAGTTGTTTTAAAGCTAAAAGACTAAACTATTATATGTTTGACTCAAATTAAAAGAATTAAAGAGTTTAATTTCTATTGCTATGCTTTAATGTTTATAGGGATTTTAAGATGTAGCCTAATTAGCGACTTGAATAATTAAGTTACTTATTGAGTAACTAAATTACTTTTCAGACAGAGTAATTAGTAAAGTAATTGAAATACAGTATTGATGATGTAATTAGGAATAGTAATTAATTACTTTTTGAAAGTAACTTACCCAACACGGCTTGGTGGCAAAATATATGCAAAGTTTTAATTAATTGATTAATTTATTTTTAAGTTTGTGCAGTGCTGCTTCTAAAAGCCACTTCTCATAGTACAAACAGTGGATTTAATTGAAAATTATTGTCAAAGGACTGTGAAATGTATTTTTCTAATATTTAAAAAGTGCAATATTAAAAAAAAAGAATAAATAAAAAAAATTTATTATGATCTTAAAACTGAACTAAACAGGCTGGCATTATTTAGTGTGTCTTATCTGTGGGTACATGGCTGCCAGTCGTGTGTCAATCACTGTTTGGCAGTTTGTTGAAAGGCCCTGCCCCTTTGAGAGATCGCCCAATCATCAAGGTGGGACAAAAATACAGGGACTGAATGTCCAATGAGCAATCAGATTCTCTGTATAATGTAAATAGAGCGCAATAGTTCCCACCCCCACGTTTTCAACAAATTGGTTCAGAAGTGAAAGCCTTCATGAAAGAGCTGTTAAGAACCAAAGCAAACCGCTACGACGTGTATCACATTACAAACAGTTATCAGCTTTCAAAAATAAAGAATTATCGGTTATCGGTATCGGACAAAATTTTCATATCGGTGCATCCCTAATTACTTTTTACCTAACTTGATAATCTCATTGATTTGAATAGGATTATGTTGTAGCATATTGATATAAAATAGAAAAAGAAAGAAAATGTATTCCATTCTTTATCAACAGCATGAAGTGCTTTAAACATCACAAACCCCAGTTTGGGAAATTCTATGGTAACGTGAAGGAACTGCTGGAGGTTCGTAACGTAATGAAAAGCTCATAATCAATTAAATCTTAAAAAGTTAAAATAAATAAATAAAAATAAATGATCAAAATAAAACACTTACTAAAAAAAAAGATTAAATATTTCTCCTATTTATGCCGTGTGCCCTCTCAATTTTCTGTATAATTACATTAATTACACATCTTGAAGAGATTCCGAACGTATACAAGTAAGAGGCTTCTTCAGAAAGAAAAATTTAAAGGACAAAAAAGAAGAATCTATGAATTATCAATAATTTACGAACATTTTGTGAATATTAAGTCATAATGTAATCAATAAAAAAGTAGCTAGTCTGATTATGAATATTTAAAAAACTTTATATAGTTTAATAAAATAAAAAAAATCTGATTACATAATCCAGATTACGTTAAATCAGTTACTCAGTGATATCTGGTATCTCTTATATCCCTTCATGGTTTACCGTAACATCTATTGTCCAATCTTATCTTTATAGCTGAAGAACGAGTTTGAGTTTGAGTATCAGACTAAAGTCGACGGCGAGATCCTTCTGCACCTGTACGAGCGCTTTGGAATCGAGAAGATGGCCTCCATGCTGGATGGTGTATTTGCCTTCATCTTGTTGGACACGGCTAACAGGAAGGTTCTCTTGGGCAGAGACACATACGGCGTGAGACCGCTGTTCAGACTGCTCACCGACGACGGCTTTCTAGCCGTCTGTTCTGAGGCCAAAGGTATAATGAATCATGGATAACTAATTGGTGTTTTTGCTCACTTTGAGCACACTGGATTACAGAATATGATTTGAACAGCCTTATGTTTTACCTTTGATTTAATCCAAACAGGTTTGCTAGACCTCAAAACCTCCATGTCCACTCCTGCAAAGATCACGGCCTTCCTACCGGGGCACTTTGAGGTGTTTGACTTGAAGCTCACTGGAAAAGTGGAGTCTGTTCAGATGGATCGCTTCCACTGCTGCACAGAAGAACCCAAACACGCCGCCTATAACATCCTGGAGGGTCTTGGCACAGGTAGATGCCATATTCAGCAAAGTCGTAGTTCATAATACTTATTCGTTATGTTTTAAGCAGTTTGATAGCTTTGTATGACAAACAGATGTTTTTTTTAATAAACTGGAATAAAGATACCCATTGTTAACCCTATTTCACCAAATTAGGCTTGTGACTACACCACAACACAACACATTTCGAACAGAACTGTAAACATGTTTGAGTGTCTAAATACTTATGTTAGAGCTCCTTTCACTGATCTAAACCTGACTGTCTGTGTGTCGGAGCTAATGCTTCAGTCTGTCGAGCTGTACCAACATTACAGCCTGTCACACGGCACTAATGACAAGAGCTGTTAAACGATACAGCAACCTAAGTAAGTATTTAGACACTCGTGTGACACTTAAAATGTGTCAATGTCATTGCATTAGATAAAAAATATCAAAATTAAATGTCATCTGCTGCAGGAGCTTTTCTCAAAAAAAAAAAGTCAAACAAAAGTTGTGAAATTCAGACAATTGAGGCATGAATTTAAGTGAATAAATACTCAAAATACACTATTTCTTATTTCCAGTTATGTGTCCTATTCAGATTTTTAAAATAAAATGAAATGTAAAAATAAATCAAATAAATTGCTAAAAAAAAAAAAAAAAAGCTAAAATAAATAAAATGCTAAAAAAAAAATATATATATATATATACTTAAAAACAATAAATAAAAATAAATAATTAAAATAGTGGTCGAATAAAATAAGAAATAAAATAAAATGATGAAATAAAAATAAAAACTATATAGCAAATCTCAACTGCCTGATTTTTATGTTGCAAAATGTAACTATATTTTTGCCCAGCTCTTTATAATAAGTTTAATATATGAGAATGTCTGAGTTTATCTGCATGCATACAGTATACTCGAATAGGGCGATATACTATATAGCAAATCTCACATTCTTGATTGATTGTATCGTCACGAAATTCTATAAATGTAATATATATAATTTACACAATGTTATTGCCAGTTCTAATATACTAAATAAAGATAAGGCATTTACTGTACTGTCAGAAAATGAATTTCTTACTTTTCATCAGGCTTTGAACTGGAGACGGTCAAGAGCAACATTAGGATCCTGTTTGAAAGTGCAGTAAAGAAACGCTTGATGGCTCACAGAAGAATCGGTTGCCTCCTCTCAGGTGCCTGTGCTCATTGCTTCGGTTTACTGGTTTAGTTACTCTGGATTATTTTCTTACATTCAGCTGGGGGGTTTTTTCCAGGTGGTCTCGATTCAAGTCTGGTTGCTGCTACGCTAGTGAAACTGGCCAAAGAAGAGCAGCTCCCGTATCCCATTCAGACATTTTCCATCGGTGCAGAAGACAGCCCAGATGTTGCTGCTGCTCGCAAGGTCAGTCACACTTTACAGCTCCATAGCCTGAACACTGGAAGCTTGTTTTGTGAGGATAGGAAGTGTTAAGCCATTAGAGACACAATCTAAGGTATTTTTGTGTGAGATTAGATGTTTGATTTAAACTGTTGTCTAAAATAATAACCTACCATGAAAGTAGCACATTTTAAACTAATCAAATATGAAAAAAACTGTTTCATAATATTTAGAAATGATTTTCAATCCAGTTAGGTAAAAAATATATATTTTATTTATTTTAACAGATTTTGTTTATCAGAAACATTGTGTCCCACATTTTGTATGCAACCTCCATTACAACATTCCTCAAAATTGTGACATTTAAAGATGTGAAATTTATTTGGTGGTTTTCAGCATGACAGGAAGACAATTATTCCCTTTTTTTAATATATATATATATATATATATACACACAAAGTGGATTCATCAAGCTTAAACTTCAACCTAAAGTTATTGTTAAAAAAAAAGAAAAGAAAAGAAAAATAAGAAAATGATCAAGTAACCTTAATTTAACTTTTAATTGTAATTTATAACATTACATTTGAATGTTTATTGTTAGACAGTTACAGAATCACACACATCAGGGTTTTAAACTGTATTTAGACAAAGCTGTATGTTCCAAATTTTTATAATTGCAAATTGTTTTCAAATCTCATAGAAAAAGGTTAGAAAATTGAAATAGCTCAAATAATATTTATTGTGACTTGAGATTGACAACTTTTTCTAAAGGTTGACCATTAGAGAAAGACAGAAAAAAAGTGTGTGTGTGTATATGTATATATGTGTAAGTACATTGTACAAGTATTCATACCCTTAACTAAATATTTAGCTGAAGCAGCTTTATAGCCTCAAGTCTTTTTTTGTTTGTGTTTGATGCGACAAGTTTTGCTCATCAGCATTTGACAATTATCTGCCATTCTTGTCCTCACCTCTTCACCTCTCAAGCTCTGTCAGGTTGGATGAGGACTGACGCACATTTTCAGGTTTCTCCAGAAATATTTGATTGGGTTCAATCCCAGGCTGTGGCTGGGTCACTCAAGGACATTCACAGAGTTGTCTATAAGCCGCTCTTGCTGTGTGCTTAGGGTCATTGTCCTATTGGAAGGTGAACCTTCTGCCCAATCTGAGGTTCTCAATGCTCTGGACTAGGTTTTCATTAAGGCTATCTCTATATTTTGGTGCATTGAGCTTCTCTTCTACTCTGACGAGTCCCTCAGTCCCTGCAGCTGAAAAACAGCCCCACAGCATGAGGCTGCTACCAGCACACTTTACTTTTGGGATGGTACTCTGCAGGTGATGAGCAAAGCTGGTTTCCTTCAAACATGATGCTTGGAATTGAGGTTCATCGGACCAGAGAATAGTGTTTCTCAGAGTCTGAGGGTCCTTTAGGTGCTGTTTTGCAAAATCCAATTGTGTTTTCATGTGTCTTCACTGAGGAGAGGATTGAGTTTGGCCACAACGCCATAAAGCCCAGATCGGAGGAGTGTTGCAGTGATGTTTGTCCTTCTGTAGGCTTCTCCTATCTGCACATATGATCATGGAGCTCAACTAGAGTGACCGTCAGGTTCTTGGTCACCGGTCTAGACAAAGCCCTTCTCCATCAGTTGCTCAGTTTGGCTGGGCGACCAGCTCTAGGAAGCGTCCTGGTTGTTTCAAACGTCTTCCATTAAGGGTAACAGAGACTACATGCTTCTGTGAACCT